CCAGACAGATCACATTTGCAGATAGCCCTAGATCAGCAGCAAAAATATCGTTATAGAGAGTGACAGAGGGAAGTGCACGAGGTGGAGAAAAAAAGTGAAGAATTATAGTTTTCACTATCTTGCTCTAAGCAAGCAAGTATCACTTAAGCAGCTAAATATCACATACGTTGAACAGACAAGTCAAAATATGGGTTTGGTCAGATTACAAACTCTTAACTCAGGTGATTTTGTCTCTGCAAGTGATGTTACCGAGAATAAAGCATAGCAGGAGAAAGACAAAAGCCCCAGAAAAATTCTGTCTTCCCCTTCTCTCATTTGTTTCCAGGCAGTATAAAGTTTAATTTATTTTGTCTCTTAAAATTACACACAAAGGAAAAACTGTCCAGGCAACTGATAGTTTGGGCATTATTTTTGTGCTCCCTTCTGCACATTGGTGTCACTACAGAACTCGCGCCCTGAACACACTTCGCGAGTTAGCTATATTCAGGACCTACCAGTATGCAGAACCAGCTCCTATTTCCCCTCAATTTTTACCATATTTGTCAATCATTATTTTAATGCATCTTCAGTAAAGACAGAGCTCATGCATAGCATTTATCCGCTGCTGTCAACAGGAAGCATGGAAGCTATCACACTCCTATAGATCATTCGCTCAGCTTTCACAGCTTATGAATCAGCCAGATTCTTACACGCTCCGTCAAGCAGTAAGTTATGTTTGGCAGTGGACTAGTTTTATTTAACTATTTAATAGTTCCCTTCACCACAGATACTACACCAGGAAGCATTTTAGACTCAGCAACACTATTATTCGTAGGGCTTTTTTCATGAGAGGCAGTCTCAGCGTTGCAGTCAAGTGACCGACCACCATAGGCACTTCTCATAGTTTAGCTGTCAGAGCTGTTTAACACTGGATTGTGCATTCGGCATACCTGGAACATGCCATCTCTACCCAGTAAAATTATGGATGTATGTTTGGATAAAGCATAACAGTCAAAGAAAGATGGGCCAAAGGTAACCTGTTCTTTATGATTATACAGTCGGGTTCCCTCTGAAACGCAATTAGTGTCCCTCTCCTTTTTGCCACGTAAGTAGGAGTTTCAGGAAGATGACTTATCCCATATTTCATCTGTGTTCTAATTTCTCCACAGATCATAAAAATATGCCTGCAGAATTTAATTTTATAGATGGGCAAATACTTGGATAGTGGTTGCATGCACATGGAAGCTGAGGGATGATAAAAGCCTGTGTTTCAGTGTTGAGTACCCTCTATAAGCAGTAGCACCAAGGAACATCAGGTTGCAGAAAAGGGATAAAAAGAGGCCATAGGAGATTAGCCCTCCAGGCCGTTAAAACACTATGTAAACGTGGGCTTCAGTGTCACTCTGAAGTAACCCAGACACTTCATTTGATTCTAGATATGGAAACCAAAATCAACGTCCATAAGGATTTTTCAGAGTACATTGAATTTTTTCCCTTTGGGCTAGTTCTTTTTGATTTTTAAATCTGAAGAGCAAGGCAGGAAAAGTCTAAAGAATTGCAAGAAACCAACTAACTCCTAGTCAGGGTCTAGACGACAATAAGAGATGCTTTGCCTAATGTCTCTGGAAACAAAGAGAAAGAATTAGGGGCAATGCTTCTCTCGTGTCAAGAGGAGGTTACTAAATAAAAATCAGATACAGGAATCTGTTACAACAGGAAGGCACTAATGCCAAGTCAGGAATCTCCAGACACCGAAGCATAAATCCGCGTGTAGGACAGTGAATGGTGAATCAGTTAGTGTAGTACGGAGAAGAAAATGGAAGCACAGTGGATAAGCTGTAAAATCACTACAGAAGATAAGAATAGGGAAATGTTATATATGTAGTAAGCTATACCAACAAAAAAGGGCCAATTCAAACAGTGCCAACAAGGATTATTGGAAATATCCTATCTTTGCAAAAATCACTGAAGAGACAATTCCAACTTGTAGAACAGCCTCAGACACATGGCGACAATGATGGAGGCACGACAGAAAGATCTAGACAAACCTGACAAAGCTACTAAAAATTAGGTAACAATCTTTTTTTTTTTTTTCCTCTCCCCTTAAAATAAATTTCTCTGGTCTGATATTTCTCATGACCTAGTAAAATTGCTTCTCAAACATGTCCCTTAGCTGCCTTCTAGTAAGAAAAATCTTTGTAAAAGATTTAGTACTAATAATGCATATTTCATTTGCAGTAAAATTCAAGTATTTCTGAAAAGTTTTATCAAAATCCAGCTTAGGTGAGTGTTCTTGACCATAAGTTTTTTTCCTTAAAGAATCCTAGAAAGTGCACACAAAAGGGATTCAACCGTATAAGGCAAGCTTGTAAAACAAAGGGAATATTTTTGGAAACTATTTTGTAGTCTTGGTTCAAACCTAAGTATAATTGCTTCTCAAACTTATCACTTAGCTCCCTTCTAATAAGAGAAATCTTTGTAAAGAAACTGTTATTGGCAACCAGAAATACTGGCAAAGGAATTCGAAGTACAAACGCGTTGAAATAATTTCACATCAGGGTACCAGTAATGATAAGAGATTGTATAAAGTGATGCGTAAAGAACCCCTTTCCTACGTGCATGGGATGCGCAGGGAAGAGTTTCACCTGATGATATCATCTTACGCTGGTTTGGAGGGAAGGAGTTGGGTGCAGAACCCAGAACTTGAACAGACAAGACTTTACTGAGAGATATGGCAGCAAAAACAAACAAACAAACAAAAAGCCAAGGGTGAGATTTCTGTGAAGCGTTGCTCTACAGGTTTTGGCTGGTGTGTGTTTCTTTCATATGGCTTGAAAGGAAATATTAGCATCTTCCTCCAACTCTGCCACAGTAACTGCTGTCAACCTCCGCTACAAACTCTGGAAAATAGGTCAGAAGTATCACCTATGGAATTCCTTTCTTTAACCACTTCCGTCTCATGGAGTTTCTCCACCTCAATTGCTATAAATTCCTGTCACCAGAACTGTGGAATCCCCTAGGTCACTTGACAATATTTGAATCTGTACCACGATTCTATGGTAAGTGATACTGCACGAACAGCGGACTAGATAGAAGGCATGAAGTTGTTTCGGGTACTGATATAGTTCACCTTGCCTCAGGGATCTGGTGAACAGCACGTCTTAAATAAAATATGCACACATTTTGGGAGGCTTTCACATTTAGACATTAAAGCCATTGCAGTTATTCCAGTCATTATCAAAACCATGACCATGTAGTTGGCATCTTTAAAGAGCACAGGAGCTTTCGATAAACAATTTTTAATGAAAAGAATCAGGTATGCAGCTATGTTGACGTTACACAAGTCCAGTACAAAATAAACAACAGTGAAGAAGGTCACAGTTGGCCCCTTCTCCAGGCCAGGGGACTGAAGCTTTTCAGGGTAGAGAAAACTCACAACAGAGGGATCTGCACTGCGACGGACAGCTTATGTAGCGCTTCAGTGCTCCCCTCCACCCAGTCTGTTTGTGGAGGAAATTCTCCTTTCTCCCAACCTGTTCCCCCACCTCATCATTGTAGAGAACTCTATATGAGTTGGTAATCAGTTGCGAGTTTCAAGGGTTCTTTGCAATTATTATTTTAGGGCAAAAAGGAAATAGACGGCTGCATGTGAAGCCCATACAAGCACTAGAGGATGTCACACAGATGATACAGCTCTTACACATACACGTGCAGTATGCTACAGTGGACTTCAAATACTCTGTAAAGAACCTTTAATATAGATGTGTGTACTATGCATAAAGGGGGGCAGTAATCCTCTTCCATAGAGGACTGCCAAAACCAGATCATTAGACCTGGCTGAAAGATCCCCTTCTGTAAACTTACTGAGATCCACTTCGATTGGAAACATCACATAAAAATTTATTGGAAAATCTTCCTCCCCAACAACACTCATGCAACGCACCTGCTGTAAAAGAGCAAGGATTCTGGTGTTCTGGAGTAGTCCAGGAACCGACACTGGTGAACAAGCTTTCCAAAACGTGAAACCAACACAAGATGTGCAAGGGAGCACAAGAGAAGTAGAAGCATTTTAAGGTTAACTTTCTGATTTTGCAGTATAGATTTTAATTCTTCCTGAAAGGCAGCTTTTTTCCAACATAAACACAGCATGTTTAGGAACCACTAGATGATAGAATCATTATGTGTTCCTACCCACAAACTCCCATCTCTTAAGCATCACATTTTACAAGGCTGTCAAAAAGTAAGTTCAAATAAAACCCTATAAAGGTTAACTCGGGCAAGCTGAATGTGATAGCAAACACATAGTTGCATATGCGTAAGTGTTCCCATGTTTTTCCGTAGTTACTGTATTTGCGTGCTGTGAAAACCAGAAACTAATAGTATTAAAGGGAATTAAACAGGAATAGTTATTCATTGAACAAGGAAAATCAGCCATATAAACAAAAACAGTCAAAGAAAATTTTAAATTTAAAAGTTCCATACTAATTAAAAACTATATCTGATTTATTCTTTTTTTAAATTAATTTAATCCCAAATTCCGATTGAAAATCCGGAGGAAAAAAACCTGTTATTTATTACTATTTTAGCTTCAAAATTTCCCAGGACTTGCAAAACATGGTGTCCAAATTAACCATCCCTGTACACCAGGATGTCACTACTGTCTACCTTATTAAGTGATGCTTGGAGTAACACTTAACCAGGTAAACATCTAGCAAAAAAGCACACACACAAAAAAAAAGTGCTGTCATGTGAAGAGCACCTCCATTTCCCCAAAGTAACGTTACATAAATAAATAAATAAACAAACCTGCCCAGTGGGGAAAACTATCCAAATCAAGGAATCGCAGCTTCTGGCTTTTTACTACAGACTGGGGGCGAGGGGAAGGAAATCACACCTGGGGCTGGGAACTCGGGGATTGCCGCCTTGGGAGCGCAGGGAGGTGGGGGAGAAAGAAAGGCCCAGCGCTGGGGAGGGGGAAAGGAGGAGGAGGAGAGAGAACAAGGAGCAGAAGGTGCACTTACTGTTTGGTTATCTTCGTACAGCTTCAAGTCATATCCACTCAGCTCCACACAGAAAATTATTGCTGTAACCCCCTCAAAACAGTGGATCCATTTTTTGCGTTCCGATCTCTGTCCCCCCACGTCCACCATTTTAAAAGTCAGCTCTTTGAAGGTGAACTTATTTTCTACAATCCCTGTGGTCATGTCCCGAGAACGCAGAATATCTTCCACCGTAGGGATGTAGTCCAGTGCTGCAATCCTTTCTAGGTCATTTAAGTAGTAAGCAGCATTATCCTCTAGGTGGTACTCATTGGAGCGGCAAAAACACTCCTGCACCCCGGGGTCTGCCCAGAGCCGTTTCATGACTCCCAGCAGCTCAGGGGTAATCTCACCTTTGCTCTCAGCTGGGCCTGTCAGGGCAAAAAGCTGCACAGCATCATATGCTCGGTCAGGATTGTGAAATTCTATCTTAAGGGTGGCTAGAGCCCGAATGATCCGCGTGAGGGAGTCAATTGCATTATAGATAATCAGAGGTTTGTATTCCTTGCAAGCCTCCAAGTTAAAGCCACCACTGTGAATGATTTTCATCTGCTTTACAATAGTACTCTTCCCAGAATTGCTGGTGCCCAGGAGAAGGAGCTTAATCTCTCTTCGTTGTCGCTGACTTTCAGAGCGCAGGTGGCGGTCAATCCTACGGGACCGCCGCGCTGCCTCTTTCTCCTCAGAGCTTTGCCGACATCCCATGGTATAGCAGGCAGTTACAGAAGGGAAAGGCTGGAGATTGTCTCACTCTGTTTGTGTCTCTGAAAAAGATCTGCGGTGTCTTTCAGTTCTCGTGCCAGGTACACCTTGAATGAAAAAAAAGCCGCTATCCAATACCTGATGGTCCAAGATGTCTGTACCACCTAATTCAGTCCCAGCAGGGGTGCAAACACATGTAGATAGGCAACCACAGAAATAGTCTCTTCAGTAGATCTCATGGCACTCCCCTTTCCAGTGCATAAGCAGTGGCACATTCCTGTTAATGAAGGGATGCTTCCCTTTGCCACAGTTTGGCTAGAGCCATCAAATACTCTTTTCTGTGCTGCATAATTATTTTGCTGCCTTCTGTCCAAAGGTAAGGAGCCACGCTTTTACCTTCTCTGCTCTAGCTCTTGTCTTTTAATTGTATTTTCTGGTTGCTGTGGTGATGCTGCTAGATAAAGCTGAAGCTCTTTTCGATGGTGCCGCACTTGTTTTGCTTCTCTTCCCCCACTTCTTCAGCTGATTCAGTTCAGCTCTGTAAATCTGTGCTTTCCACCTGCCAAACAATGAGAAGAGAAATGAATGAAATGAGCGGCTCCACTCCCTTGCTGCAAACCACTCGCTTTCTCCTCCTCTTCTAGACTTCAAAACCTTTGATTATCCCAAACAGAAAATACAGATGGAAAAATCTGTAAAGAAAAGCAAAAACCTAAAACCCTAGCAAAAACATAGGGACAGCTGAAGCTTGCAGACCTAAGCAAATGTGGTTTCTGAACAATAGTAAATCAAATCTCCCTTTCAGCCTTCTGTGTTTTATTGTCAAAACCTACATGAAAACAAACAGTGCTGAGCTGCGCCCCAGTTTCTCCCTCAGCAAGAGCTTATGGCAGTGCTTTTCCGGCACAGTCCTGTTCTGACTGGTTTTCCTGAAGTAGAAAACAAAACAGACTCACAACTACTTTTCCCAGTCTCTATTTATATCAATATCTTGTACTCAGACAGATGTCCTCTGAGTTTTCTTTCATCTTTTCTGTTTGCACTGAACATTTAAATAACTAAACTGGAAAGCAAAAGGAGGTGATTAACTTTGCTCCATGATTTTGTAAAAGGGAGAATTACTGATCTTTGCAGAATACGGTAACAGATCTTCGTTCCCCTTGGAGAACAGTCCCGTTAAACGTACTACCTGCATCCTGCTTCATCAGTAAAGTGATGCACTACTACAACAAACTTTGTAAGGTTCTTCCCATAGCCAAGCTAGGTGTTATTAAGCCTCTTTTCCATTTTTAATACAGGAAATTCTGAGATGCAGTAGAAGTGCACAGCGACTAGAAGGCGAACGGTCGTACAAAAAGCCCAGGCAATGCCATCCCAAACAAGGGCTGACAGCTTTTCAGTGACTGTTAGAGCAATTATTCTTTCTCAGATCAGGGTTAAGCCTACTAGTTGGAACTCTGCAGAAGGCAGCAGCAGGAGGCAGTTACCTCTGAGAGGGAAAACACATTACTAATAGCTGAGGGGCAGTCCCTTGCCTCTTGCCTAGGAAGGGCTTGCTGCTCCCACTAAGCTCCGAGCACAGCGGGCAGCAGGATCGCAGGTGTCACGGCTTCCTCATCGTCTGCTGGCCCCAGCCCACTTTGGCCCCTATATTGCTGTCTGTTTACTTCTGTCTAGAGGGTCTTCAGCAAGTATTTTTACAAACAAAACTACGTGCCACTGAGATACCCTCGGAGGTAGGCTTAAGAAAAAATTCAGAGCCTCCTAAAGAAATATAACTTCTACTACATTTTAATAAGACCAAGTCTCCCAAATTCCATTTTCAAAGTTGCTCTAGAAGTCTCTGGAAATTTTTCCTGCATGAACTTACTAGTGTTTCAGTGTAGGTGACAAAGCATTAAAATACATATTGAAGAGGATGGTTCCACACTCCTAGGAGAGGGACAGAATCATAGAATCGTTAAGGTTGGAAAAGACTCTTAAGATCATCGAGTCCAACCGTTAACCCAGCGCTGCCAAGTTCACCACTAAACCACATCCTCAAGCACCACATCTCCTCATCTTTTAAATACCTCCAGGGATGGGGACCCAACCACTTCCCTGGGCAGCCTGTGCCAGGGCCTGACAGCCCTTTCAGTGAAGAAGTTTTTCCTAATATCCAACCTAAACCTCCCCTGGCGCAGCTTGAGGCCGTAAATGATCCAAGCCAGATGTTGAACCTCTGGCTTTTGTGAGAAAAGAAATGGAACTACAACTGCTTACAACCTCATGTACTTTGCTTTCTCTCTTTCTTAAGCATCACAGCAGAAATTTTAATGGACAAAAGAGAGTTCAGCACTCCAAAATAGCAATCTGTAATTAAGTATTTGAAATGGAGCACTGGATTTACCAATATGTGTTTTTCCTTTCCCCACATCACCTACATCATATGAGAAGATCCACTTACATAGCAGGATGGGGTGGGTCCTGTTCTGACTTGGTCACACTGCTCTGGATGAGAAATACGAACTTATTTTTACATGACTTCTATTTTAATGTGTAACATGTATTTATAAATGCATATACATCTAATAGTACATGTTTTGTAAGATACTGTTTTATTGTTGAGAATTTCAACTCTTGTTTTTTCTTGCCAAAAGTCATTAGCAGCCAGGGATTTCAGCGAGATCTTGCTTTACCCTCCCAGTAGCTGTCACCATAGTAGAAATTAATTATGTCAAATCATAGCTTTAGCTAATCTTTAAATAATGTTGACTGAGATACAGCATAGCATAAAAACTTTGAGGCGGGGACTTAACAGATATAGATAAGGACAATTACATCCGCTGCAGTACTGAAGAAGGTTTATATGGTTAAAGATCAGCTTTTAAAGTTTCCTAGCATCTCACATTTACATGAAAAAACATCGTTCTTAGAACATTTACTTGGGAAGGGTCAAAGGGGGAAGTAAATTGGAGATCTAGGATTTCATTCCTCAGGTGGCAGAACCAAGCGCAATGATCTCAGGCTCTTCTGTTTAGCAAGAGGTATTACTATTCTTCTGTTATTTGTATATTAAATTTTTGTCACAGTGGGCTATCCTAATCTTAGTTTCTGTATAGCTTTCTCTCTGAACATGTTTCAGGTCACTTACAGATCTCTTCTCATTTACGATGGGCTGACAAACGGAAAGGTAGAGTCTGTGCGTGTGCTCTCAGATCCAAGTCCCCGCTGGTACGCATCTTGGGGGTCTACAGTTCTGTAACAGCATCTTAGCCAGGTTCTTGCAACACACTAGATCCCTTTTCAGCAGTTTCCAATACATAAACGTGAAACATGCATGTATGGAAGGACAAACAGTTATGGCAATCATTGTTAATCCCTTAGCATCAGAGAAAAGGGTATAGAGACTGGACAGTCAATGGATGACAGTTTTACATATTTGTTCCTGAAATTTCCTGGGATGTTAGCCTGGGACAGTTCAACTTGCAGTCACTCACTCTTAAATACTTTTACTGATTCTATACTTTCCTTTAAATCCCTTCCTAACTCTAGCCCTGCTTACGGGAGATACATAGTTGAACCAACGTGGACCTGGATGAAATTCACGACTACCAGGATGAGTCAGTATAGGTCAGGGTTGGTTCTGGTGTACTGAGGAGAGCATTATCTTTTAGCTGGAGAAGATGAACAGATCATTGGTGCAAACAATTGCAAAATTCCAGAACTGCAACTGCGACCACAAAAAAGCGAACACTCAAAAAACCCAGTATATGAAGTATACCGATTCCCACTCCTTCCCGCCTTTCCTTAGGCTGCCAGAACACTATTAACATACACCACCTCAGAACAGCAGCTTTTACTCAGCTCTGAAAATCTCCTATACAGTGTTGCAACTTCCCCCTCTTCTTTCTTGCTCCTATTTAAACCTGCCTTCTCGCTACGTTCTTTTAATCCCTGTGCTCTAACCCCTGCCTGTATATCCATCCCAAACCCACGTGCGTGCAATTCATGAACTAGAACAGGACTTCTACAGTAAGCAGCTCCAGAAACTAACCATGCCAATCTTCTTCTCCGTTGTTCCAAACTAGTTATCTAGGCGGCACATCAAGTCACCTCTCCGTGACAGTCTGGAGCATTCACCTGACGTCTTTGCCTGTCTGGACTGTAGCGTATGAGCAGGCTTGTAATGTAAGCATTTGGGGTACCTTAAATTTAAAGATACCTGAATCCTGCGCCCCAAACGCACTGTGTATTGCTATTACCCGGTCTAAAGTTCTACAAGAGAGTCTTAATATCAGCTGTATTTACCTTACTTCCCTTTGCACATCAGAAGGAGATTTGCACATGAAGAACAGATTAATCAGCAGAAAATTAAAATAATAGCATACACATTGATAGAATGGTAATTAGCACAACTTTACTTACTCTAATGCATCAAAGATGTGGTGAGGAAAACCAGCCAAAATGAGGAATTGTACTTTCTTCAAAGAATTGGCTTTTTCCAATGGTCATAGAAGATGAAAAATAAGAGTTGAGGGAGCCGTTTCTTAACGAGTAACTTTCCAGCCACACAGAGAAAATGAAATTACTGTATTAGGGATGAGGCCAAATTCTTATTTTAATTATATAAAAATTAGAGTTGGTGCCATTAATCATGCTTATTCGGACATGTTCACAATACTTAAAATTGGTTTTCCTTTAAGTCCTCATCATCAGAGGCTTCATTTTCACGTCATTGATAAGACTACTGGTCGAATTCTTTGTGACATTTTCTACACATCTCTGTGATTAAAGATGAAAAATTTTGCAAGCAGCACATATGGGACTCCCTCTCCTCTCTTTATTCAAGTTTCGTCCCGAAAAAAAGAGAGGCTTGCTAGAGACAAGAAGCAAGAGGATACGTATTCCTTCCAAAATGCATTAGTACTTATGATAAATCTGGAGGTTTTATGCCCATATGAGATAAGCAGATCTTTTTTAAACTTTATGTTATTGGCCTCAACAACCGCTTATGACAGACAGTTTGGTAGAAAGACACTTTCAAGAAAAAATTATTCTTTTCAGACAGCTTGTACATTCTGTGGAGTATTTCCTATTGCATATTTCCACAACACATTCAGACGCATCATTCATATCCCACACTATTTTACATATCAACTGTTCTGCTTGCCATTCATTAATACGTTTAACACAGAAAAGCATAGAGTAGCACCTCCTTATTTAAGGAAGACCAGGAGTATGTAAACACTGTGTAAATGAGTTCTACACTATTGAATTTCCATTTTTTTGGCTTCTAGTCATTCCTATTGCATATATTGCAATGATATTTGGATCTCACTATTTCAAGTAGG